GAGCTACAGAGAGGCAGAGGCAGAGAGAGAGAGAGGTCTGCCATCTGCTGGTTCACTCTCCAAATGGAAGCAATTGCTGGAACTGGGCCGATCTGAAGCCAGGAGCCAGAAATATCTTCCAGGTCTTCCACACTCGCACAGGGGTCCAAGGACTTGAGCCATATTCTAGTGCTTTCCCAGGCCATAGCAGAGAGCTGGATTGGAAGTGGAGCAGTGGGGACTCAAACCAGTGCCCATATTACTGCAGGCCGCAGCTTTATCCATTACATCACAATGCCAGGCCCAGGCTAACATTCTTAAAATTTAACAAAGTGAAACCCGGTCATTTGCAACAAGATGGAGGAATCTGGAAAATATTATGCTGAGTGAATTAAGCCAGTCCCAAAGGGAAAATATTATATGTTCTCCCTGATCGGTGACAACTAACTGTGCACCAAGGAGGAAACCTGTTGAAGTGAAATGAACACTATGAGAAACAGTGACTTGATCAGCTCTTGTCCTGACTGTTGGTGTACAATGCAATACTTTATCCCTTTTAGTATTTTTTTTCTAGTACTATTGGTTGAACTCTGTAATTAACACACAATTATTCTTAGGTGTTTAAATTTTAACTGAAAAGTGATCCCTGTTAAATATAAGAGTGGGAATAAGAGAGGGAGGAGATGTACAACTTGGGACATGCTCAATTGGACTTGCCCCAAAAGGTGGAGTTAGAATCATGCCAGGGGACCCCAATACAATCCCATCAAGGTGGCATGTACCAATGCCATCTCACTAGTCCAAGTGATCAATTTCAGTTCACAATTGATCACACTGATTGGTCTAAGAGTCAAAGGGGTCACACACACAAGACTAGTGTCTGCTAATACTAACTGATAGAATCAAAAAGGGAGAGAACGATCCATCATGGGAAGTGGGATACACAGCAGACCCATAGAAGGGCAGATGTCCTAAACAGCACTCTGCCTTAGAATCAGCCCTTAAGGCATTCTGATATGGCTGAAGAGCCCATGAGAGTATTTTAGGCATGGAAAGCCAAGACACCCTGGAAAAAAAAAAAAAAAAAAAGAAGACCTAAATGGAAGATCTCTGTGAGTGAGATCCCAGTGGAAAGAATGGGGCAATCAAAGAATGAGGTACCTTTCTCTGAAGGGAGGAGAGAACTTCCACTTTGACTATGACCCTGTCGGAATAAGATCAAAGTCAGTAAACTCAAAAGGCTTCCATAGCCTTGGCAACTCATGACTAGAGCCTAGGGAGATTACTGACACCATAAAAAAGAGTGTCAAATTGTTAAGTCAACAACAGGAGTCACTGTGTACTTACTCCTCATGTGGGATTTGTCCTTACTGTGTTGTCCAATGTGAAGTAATGCTATAACTAGTACTGAAACAGTATTTTACACTCTGTGTTTCTGTGTGGGTGCAAACTGATGAAATCTTTACTTAATATATACTGAATTGATCTTCTGCATATAATGATAATTGAAAATGAATCTTGATGTGAATGGAAAGGGAGAGGGAGCGGGAGATGGGAGCGGTGCGAGTGGGAGGGAAGTTATGGGGGGGGGAAGCCATTGTAATCCATAAACTGTACTTTGGAAATTTATATTTACTAAATAAAAGTTAAAAAAAAAATAACGAAGTCACCACTGCCTTCAGGGAGTCCCCTACCCATGATGACACTAACCTGGGAATCCCTCAAGGAAGAGGCTGATGAATACAAAAGGGCAGACAAGACAACCCCATATATTCAGAGCAAACAGCAAACAGAAAAATAAGTGAATCCAAACTGGACACAGGGAGGGAAGGGAAACGGAAAATCTAGATCCATGGGAGAAGGTCTACAGCTTGGCCCATCTGAAATTCTTACTATACTCAAAGAATTTATAAACCAAAAACAAAAGAAGGAAATGAATGGTTCCAAATTTGCTTTGTCATCTCTACAGTAACACAAGTTGTCAAACCATCACAGCCTTATACAAAGTTGGGCTCAAATTGTGATTTCAATGAAGCCTCAACTAATTTAAAGAAAGTATCCTAAATATGGGAATTATATTAAAATGTTTTACACTTTGGGGATGCTTTCAAACATCAAATAGAGGATATATTGATATAGCTATCTTGACCATCAGAATTATCACCTTCCCCAAATTCACCATAATCATAACATGCATTATCCTAAAATATTCCATAGTATTTATAGGTGTTCTGATCTAATGAGTAAATTAAATTAAATCTTTGGATATAATCTTTGATCAAATAAGACAACATGGGCCTCCTGTCTGCCCACCATAAATAGTTACTAATGCTTTCATGGGTTGGGATAGGGTCTTCAAGGTTGAAACTCATTAGATAAGAACTACTTAAAGAAGGGGCAATAATCACCACAATTTATCCATTTCATAGCCCAATTCGGCCTGATCTTAAACCCAGAAAAGCAAATGGAGTCCAACAGTAAACTATTCCAACCTTAATGATGTGACCGTGTATATTAAGGTCCTCATATCCAATATTATTGATATCACTGATTCCATTCAATTATCAATTCGTATAAATTTTGCAGTCAGATATTTGACTATTACGTTCTGTGCAGTGCACATTTTGACAACCACTTACAGTTTCCCTTTACCTTAAAAGAAATACAATGCTACCTTATGGTACTCAGTGTCCTGCCATCACAGAAAATTTATTTGCAGTCAAGATCTTCACTGCATTCATTCACTGCACTATTACAGACTTGTGGACTACTGCTATGCACTGCCTATTTATCCAGCCAAAGGCCACATGTAGGTTACTCTATATGGGGTAAAGAAATTCGTGAATCTTTTGCCTCAAAGATACACAAATAAGCATCAAGGTCACACATTTGTCTTGGGACAAATTAAAACTACAGTGTAAGGCTCATCAAAGAATTCCTAGTTCCCTTCAGAGTTCCAGACTGCACTGAAAGTAACCAAGACACACATTTCATGTCTGGCCACTGGGCTTTTGAACAAGGCATTCAAGGGAACTTCAACCCCCTACTAATCACAATCCACAAGCCCTAATGACTACTTTAAAAAGCTCAAATTTTGTTACATGAAACAAAGTACTTTTCCATCATCTCAAACATCTGGCATGAATTGTAACAGAGCCAGACAACATTGTTGACTTTGAACTCAACAGATTTCAAGCCCCCACATAGCCTTCTGCCCCACATATGGACAAACCGGTAAGGAAGCCAACGTGTTTCTTCCTGTTGTGCCACCAGGAAATTTTGCTCCCAGTGTGGGACATCTCACTTCAAGCGCAACCACAATAGAAGCTGAACCAGATGCCCCTCTCCGCTCTGTCAAACCACGTTTGAGTCTGCTCCAGAGCCCACTTCGTTCTCTTAAGTTTCATCAAACTCACATGAAATCTACCAAGAGATAATGAAGTTCAAAAATATGGATGACACTTTCATGTCAACTTTCTGAAAAATCTTTTATTTACTGATATATTCCAAGCACCTAAATAAGTGTACCTGCTGTGTAGTGTTATTAAATAAATACTTGTATTTCTGATGGATGTTAAGGTAGACAGGATCTTGCAGATAAAAATCATGAGTTTGTTTTTCAAGATAGGACATTAGAACGTCTAGGATTGAAAACACAAATTTGTCATCCATTAACATAGACTGCTGAAGCTACAAGGATCAGTGAATGTTTGATGTAATGTGTAGAGAAAAAGGAAAAGGCTATACACAGCTTTTACAAACACAATTATTGTTTAGGTGTCAATTGCCAGGTTGATTCTAAAAGGCATGTGGTGGCCAGAAACTGGCAGAGGCTTTTACAGGAAAATCTAGTAATTGAAAACAAAGTCCTTTGTATCAGATGGTGATAAATTCTAAACCTACGTCTGCTACTTCCTTCTTTTTGTTCTTGATCAAGGTTACTTGGCTATGTCTGAGTTGCTCATTTAAAAAATGGAAATGGATTTTTTTCTTTCTATTCCTGGCTTAATTCACTTAGTATAATAACATGGAGGTTCATCCATTTAATTTTCATTCTCTAAAGAACTCAAATTCATATAAAAAGAGAAGAGTGGTTACCAGAGTTCAGGAGATTAGGGAAATGGGGAAATGTTGCTCTAACAGTCTTTCTGTTAAGATGATTAAGAATTTAATGAGGATGGTTAAGTGTCAGAGACCAAATGTGCAGCATGATTACTACTTAGTGACTAAAACTTGGTAAGAGTATATCTTAAACAATCTCACTGCAGAAATGCCCTTATAGTCTTCATAACTGAAACAACTTGTGAAATACTGAAGTCCATAAGCTTTCAGTTCTAAACCATGAGTATCCTGAAAATAGCATCAGAGTCCTGCAATATAGTAGGAGAAGGGTCTATCTTCATACATTTGAAAAGCAAAAGAAAGTTGCTTTTCATATCATTAAAACATAAGCACATTTTGAAATGCCATTCTCACTTAATATAGGAATATTAAAACATAAATATACCTTAGAATTGAATTATAACAATGCCCAATTCTAGGAATAAAAGGTTACTATGCTTTTCTGATCCTATTATTTTTTCAAAGTGTCAATTTATGCCCTAAATTCAACTTATATTAGTCCTGAAATTTGGAAAAACATGTTATTTATATATCACAACTGTCTATAAAAATAACTAGTTTAAAAAAACTAAATAATTGCTTTAGATTTTAAATGTCCAATGTCTGTTAGTCTCTCAATATTAACTAAAGTATTTATATATTTGTTATACTATGATCATCTGAAAAAGAGTTCAATTTAGATAAACAAACCAACATTATTTGAAGACAAGTGAAAAATTAATTTACAATCTATTGGGAGAAATATAAAAATACTAATTTGAAAAGAAAGCATTTCCATTTAATTTATTTATTTTAAAGTCTGAAATACTGAATTCAGTCTTTAATATTCTGTTCCTTTAATATCTCTGAATTTATTTATCACACCATGGAAGGAAGGGAGACAATCAGAAAATACTTACTTGGGATGCTATTTCTCGAGACTGACACAATGAGAGAGAAAAAGAAACACAAACACAGTTTAAACAATGGTGAAACAATGCATACACGAAAGAATCAGCAACAGGGACGAATCATGACACACCTCAACATAACACTTATAATTCACTTACAATTTAATAATATATTTATTTATCATAGGATTTTTTAAAAACAAATTTAGGTAATGAGTAAATCACTATTTTTTAACTTACTAAAATTTGAAGTTAAGTTGTTTTGTTTTGTTTAGTTTTTCTAACAATGCCTTTCTAAGTCTGATGGAATAAAAATTTGATGCTAATGGAAGAAAATAAAATAATTGATAGTAGCTTAGGAAGCTATCATTTTCTCAAGAGAATCTTTATGTAACTTTTAACATTCAATAATCATTGTAAATATTTATGTCTGGATATCATTTTATATCCTAGATACTACCTTCAGATTCATCTTTCCTCTTACATATTAATGTAATTAAATTGAAATAAATATTTTGAGTTTTCACAGTGGCAAAGAGCCTAGAAATTTATCTTCTCAATCAATCCATAATAGTTATTTAGTGACTTTAAAAAATCATGCTATCTTGTATTTCAGTTCTTTTTTTTTAAAGATTTATTTATTTACTTGAAAGTCAGAATTATACAGAGAGAGGAGAGGCAGAGAGAGAGAGAGAGAGGTCTTCCATCCGCTGGTTTACTCCCCAGATGGCCGGGCTTCTTCCTAGTCTCCCATGTGGGTGCAGGGGCCCAAGGACTTGGGCCATCGTCTACTGCTTTCCCAGGTCATAGCAGAGAGCTGGATCATAAGTAAAGCAGCCAGGACTCGAACCAGCGCCCATATGGGATGCTGGCACTGTAGGCGACAGTGGCTTTACCTGCTATGCCACAGCGCCACCCCTTCCCCCCTTTTTAAGGTATTTCAGTTCTAAGGAACAATATTCGAATCATTTTTAAAGTTAAAAGTAAAATTTTCAACTATATTCATTAGTGTCATATGACTCAAATCTAACTCATTATCCAATACTTTCTGATTATTGTTGTAAATATAAGAAATATGTTATAAACATTTGAGTGTATACTCTCTGAAATTGTTTATCTCAGGATTCCTAACACATGGCCCATGGGAATAAATATTGTTTAAATGAAAAACAGCATAGGATTGGCATCTAGAATTTTGAAACTACCATAATCCTTATTAAAATAACTGTATTAATGATATTTCACAAGAGGGAAATTTTAATAATATCTTAAAATGCTACTGTTCATTTAATAGCAAAGAGTGAATGATTGATTGGCAGATGGCCCAGTCAATAATTATTGTAGTCTATACATTTTTGAAAGCTACAGGATGTATTGACTACAAAAGTGACCAACAATCAGGGTAACATATTCTCCAAATTTATTGCACTCACCAAAATACATCAGTACTTACTTATTAAAATGCTTTAAAATAGCCTCTCTTTTCTAGTAAAAGCTTCCTTGGTCACAGTATTCTTTAGGCAAATGAGATTTTCAGTACAGTGGAAAACACAGTCAAATACAGGTGATGAATATGTTCATTATTCAAAATGTTTCATATTTTGGAAAGAAAACACTTTATCATGTGTATGGGAGATGATAACCCCCAATGGGATCTTGGTAACATTTTAGAATCAAAATAATAGATCTGCAGTGAAAAATATAGATACCCACTTTCAGTGGAATAAGTAAGTAAACACTCTCACAACAGTTCAGATGCAGTTTTGTCACAAATGAGTTTAGTGAGGGTTGTGGAGTTCAGAGTTGTATGTAAAGGACTGGAAAGGAAATTTTGTTCCTCATTTTACCCATGAGGAAAATGATTTCTTGTTCTTCCTATATTTGTGTTTTGAACCTGGAGAACTTCATGTTGCAAAAATTCTCATGAGTACAAACATAGTGACTGAAGTTCTTCCTGCATGGTGATCCATGACTAGGCACAGAGGGCCAGAGCCACCTCTACCTCACCTGCCACAGGCTGATTCTCTAATCAGTGTGCTCACACTCGCTGCACTCTCTGCTTATGTAGATGTAAAGTCTTCTCCCCACAATCTATAGTCCACAGAAAAAGCAAAACTATGAGACAGTGTCACAGGTGTTTTATAAATTGTACAGATTTTGACTACGAATATTCCTTTTAATCAGTTGACTTTTAGAAGGCATTTCCCTGAAGTATTCACTGCTTCCCCCACAGCCAAGCAGTCGTATGAATTATGATAACTCCTATTTTTTTTCTGTAATGAACATGGGGGCATATTGAAAATGCACCAAAGATAATGTGGCCTGAAAACCTGCATTTGATTTTAAAATCTAGTTTTAAAAACTTCATCACAAAACAGGTTAAGCAAACCTAGGGTCTTTGTATTAGCTTCTACCTACCTACTATATTCTTGTATGAAATGTTGACATTTAATCAAAGTTCTTCATAGAATAGGGTGTGATTTAGCACTTAGAAACATAAACTGAATAAACAGTCAATAAAGTGCCTGCAAATATCATTACTTTATGTGCATGTGTCTCCTAGTTGTAGTTATTAGTTACAAACGTACAGGTCAAATATTGAGAACATGTTCTGGTTTGTTTCAAAAAATCTATAATCTCCAATGATAATCTTTCTTATTTCCCTCTCCCTACAGTCTTTTATAATTGGTCTTCAGCTGTTTCTATAAAATATACATCATTGCTAATTCTTAATTTGCTAACTTTTAATTTTGCAGTTTCTACTTTTATCTCTTGTCTTCACAGTCTAGAGGAAGAAAAATTAATATTTCCACATATTTCACTAACTCTACACCTTCCCTCACCTCACAGTATTTTGATATTATTTTAGTTGGATTAAAACCCAGGAAATATTATGACTAAGTACAGTCTCCAAATGAGACATACAGGATTCAGAATTGGTATTCATTTCTTGTAGACATTGGTTTATTGTTGATGGGGACATCAACTTTCAATAACTCATTCTTAGCTTTGGAAACTGCATAATTTCTTAAAGATATTAAGATGCATTAGGTATAGATTTCCTCTGCCTGAAGAAATCTCTCTGAAGCCTGTGACCTGCTCTGGGTTTCCCTTTACGCCTTGCCGGCTGTGACAACTATGCTGGGGACTTGCTTGGCCTCATTCTTACCACCTTGTCTCCATGGAAGGTCTGTTTCCTGCATATCAGGATTCCTTCCTCAGCTGACTCATTTACTTTGAGGGAGTAGTTAATGTAAAAGCTGGAATGGGAAAATATTTTTTAGAAGATGTACACTGAAATATGAATTATTTTACTCTGGAAAGTTTGATAAACTTGGCTGAATATAAAATTCTACTTTGAAAATAATTCCTTCAGAACCTTGAGAGATTATTTCATCGGCTTCAAGCTTGCAGTATTGCTGTTGAGAAATCTCAGATGATACTTTGAATGTTCCCTACTCTACCGTCTCTTGGTTTGTCTTTCTGGAAGCTGTGGGGATCTTCTGCTTCCTTCAGTGTCTTTATATGTCTATTTAACTCAGTGTTACAGGTGTTTGGTGGCACTTCCCACTTGGAAACCAGCACACTTCTCTTCTGGGATGATTCTGGAATGATTACTGATATTTCTTCATTTTTGCTTTATTTTTTTTTCTTTCTAGAAATCTTATAATTCATCTCTCAAGCCTCCTGGGTTGTTCCTCTAATTTAATCTTTTCTTTATTATATTTCAGCTTTTGAATTCCCACTTTAATTTTTCAGAGGCTTCCTCAACTTTATATTACAAACATCTCTGCTTTGGCTATCATATTTTTAAAATTTATTTGGGAGACAGATACAAAGAGAGAGAGAGAGCAATCCTTAACCTGGCATATGGGCTTGGGTGTCTTAACCAGCATCTCAGCTGCTAGAATAAAAGCCTGCTCTAGTCATAGTTTTATTCTCAAGAGTCATTTGTATTATATAAATATTCCTTTAGTATTCTCTGTTCATCTTTCATCCTTATATCATATTTGTAATTGTAGCTTTTTAAATATTAACTTTACAGATACATTGGCGTAGCATACAGTTTACCCATTTCTAGTGTGTAAAAACAAGATGATTTTATTTGATTCACTAATGGTGCGAATCATCACCATAAATCACTTTTTCATTTTTTCCATTATCCCAGTAAATTCCACCACATCCTTCATCTGCTAACCCCCACTGCTCTGACCCCTTCTGTAGGCTATCACTTATCTCCTTTCTGCTGCTCTACCTTTGCCTTTCATGGGCATTTCAAATAAATGGAAATAGTATAACCTCGTGTCTATCTTTTCTTATTTGACAAAATGCTTTGTGGGTTCATACAAGTAATAACACACGTATATAGTTTGTTTCTGTTGCTAAACAGTGTATTCTCTGTATCAATATAACACATTTGTCTATCTGTTCACCAGCTGAAAATAGTAAATATGGTGTTGCAGTTGAAAACATTCACATCCAAGTCTTTGCGTGAATGGATGCACATTCATTTCTTTCTGGTAGATATTTAGGAGTGATTTAACCTAGGCCCAGATACCAGCCATTGTGGGTAGTGTTTTTTTTGGAGGAAGGAGCCAGTGAATAAGAGTTTCTCTCTCTTTCTCTCCCCCTCCAACCCCCACCCCCGCCGAGTGCCTGTGTATGTTTGTCTCCATCTCTTTGCCTCTGAAATACTTCTTTAGGAAATTTTTAAAAATTGAGGAACTACCAAATTGAAATCACTGGGTGACATTTTATTTTATGATGGTGTCATGGTGATCTGTTTTAATAACTTAACTATCGAATCTCCCATGCTTGTGCTTTTAGGCTTCCCAAGGACTAGGTCAGATTTCCTAAGAGTCTTCCATTTTTCTGCTGAAGGGTAAAGCATGCAGAATGGACCTTTTTGCTTAGCTCTAAGCATTTCCTGTGACACTCTGGCCCTTGACTATGTCCAATATTGCTGAGTCCATAAACCTTCAATGTTTGTCAGCGTGGGCTGAGCAACGGCAGCAAAGTTTTTGGAACTGCGGGAGAGAAAGGTGCCTAACAGGAGCACCTAACAAGAAGATTTCAGGTCTCCAATTCAAATGAATGCAATTTCTACCTCCTGAAATCTGGTGTTTATTTAATTCAAATAAGAGAAAATTAGCCTTTTAAAAACAATGTGTTTTTTAAATTTTCGGAACTTTCTGTTGAGCCATCTGATAGGTATAGGAAGTGGCAGCGTGTATGAGTAGATAGATCTTTCATCTCATTAGAGACAGGAAGCTAGTATTCTGTGCTTTTATGTGATCAGAAAAAAAAAGTAGTTAAGTTTCCCTATTCACAAAATACCCAATATCTTTATTGGCTTCAGATTTAATTGATGTCTCCCTCTTTTAGTTTTTTTTTACATGGAAGACAATTTAAGTCATATTCACATTAAGGTACTTTGGCATCTGAAAACTGCTCATCATGCTATTTACAATATCTTAAAGAAGAAAGTAAAGGATACATTCATCTTTAATGTGCTCTTGAAAAACTAATATTTTGCATTATAATTTTTTCCTTTTGTGTGTGAGACTAATTGCTATAGAACTCAACATAGTGTTTTGTTTGCTTCAATTGACTGAGAAATAAAAACAGAATGCAGGCTCAGCTCTAGCAGTAATTGTATATAAACAGAGATGAACATTAATTTCCATACCTCTTTTAGTACACTTTGCTGTAAAAATGCCTAATATTCCTATTTTTTTCTCTTTAATTATTTATTGCCTCAAATATTCCCACATAGCTAGGATATGAACCCTTAACAAAAATATATGTGCTGGGGCTGGTGCTGTGGCATAGAGGATAAAGCCACTGCCTGTAGTGCCAGCATCCCAAATGGGCACTGGTTCAAGTCCTGGCTGCTCCACTTCTGTTCCAGCTCACTGCTATGGCCTGGGAAAGCAGCAGAAGATGGACCAATCCTTGGGTCCCTGCATCCACTTGGAGACCCAGAAGAGGCTCCAGCCTCCTGGCTTCAGATTGGCATAGCTCTGGCCATTGCTACCATTTGGGGAGTGAACCAGCTGAAGGAAGATCTCTTTCCCTCCCCCCACCTCTCTCTCTCTCTCTCTCTCTCTCTCTCTCTCTCTCTCTCTCCATCCTTGTAACTCTACCTTTCAAGCAAATAAATAAACCATTCATATATATATATATATATATATATGCCAAAAAGATGAACTGAACTCAACTCAAGAAAAGAGGGCCGGTGCTGCAGCTCACTAGGCTAATCCTCCGCCTTGTGGCGCCGCCACACTGGGTTCTAGTCCCGGTCGGGGCGCCGGATTCTGTCCCGGTTGCCCCTCTTCCAGGCCAGCTCTCTGCTGTGACCCGGGAGTGCAGTGGAGGATGGCCCAAGTGCTCGGGTCCTGCACCCCATGGGAGACCAGGAGAAGCACCTGGCTCCTGGCTTCCTGCCGGCCATGCAGCCATTGGAGGGTGAACCAACGGCAAAAGGAAGACCTTTCTGTCTCTCTCTCTCACTGTCCATTCTGCCTGTCAAAAAAAAAAAAAAAAAAAAAAAAAAAAAAAAGAGAGAGAGAGAGAGAGAGAGAAGGTATTGATTAAAGAAAAGAAGAAAACTAGAAGAAAACTCAGTTTTCTTCTATCTTTTCAATGACATGTGTGTTTTATTTGGCTAGACATTTGGGGATTTATAAACATTTTACTAAAGTGATCTTTACTTGTGATGGACAATGTTTTGCAACACATATTTAAATACTCCTTGGTAACAAGACAAATACTCAGTTGCTCTTTCCCAACCTACAACATAAACAACACAAAACAATGTTTTTCTATAAGACAAAAATGGCTGACATGGATATGGACTTGACCCAAAGAAGAATTACATTCAAATTCACAAAGACTATATGAGGACATAAAAATAAAAATGTGGCCACACTCTGCCATATGGAAGTCTTCTTTGTAGTGACCATAGTCAAATAAATGGTTTATACAGAGAGAATGCCTGTGCTCCCAGGAGTCCCTGTGTGGAGCCTCAGTATGACAATTTTTGGAGGTAGTGAGATGATTAGGTTATGAGAGCTCTGTATAAAACAAGCCCCAGAGAGATCCCTTGTCTCTTCTGCCATATCAGGATGCAGTAAGAAGATGGCCATTTAAGAAGCAAGAAGCAGGCCCTCACCAGAACCCTATTCAACTCGGGCTTGGATTCTGGACTTCTCAACTCCCAAAACTGTGAGAATTAAATTTATGTTTCTTGTAAGCCACCCCATTCAGGGAATAGACTCAGATGGTGCCCGATTGCCTCAGTGGGTAAGCACTTATTTTCTCTTCATCTTTAACGAAATCATATTTTTTTGAAACCACTATTCTTGAATTTTCAGGCATTTCTGGACAAACTACCTTACATATTTCATCACCCAGGATGTTTCTCCAGTCAGTCATTGCTGCTTTTCTCTGATTTGGTCTTGCTCTTTGTAGTATCAACCACAGGGATATAGAGGCATGCACAAAACCACTCTAATTCAGCAAGAGAGACAGCCAACAAAACTCCATTTAACACTCTAAAACAACAGTAAAATTACCTAAAAACAGCTCAGATAAACCAAATTATTTCCTCCTTGCCTTAATATATACTCGCATATGTATTTAACAATAAATCTGAACAAGAAAGCAAACGTTTTATCCCTTTAATCTTAAGCTTTCCATAATCCATAATCTTCTTTTCCATCCATGGACTTGTTGAGATTATCACAAGTGGGCATCATGATTATATGGAGTATCAAATTGCATTTGACTGACCTGAGCATCCTACTTGTACTTTTGCATAATATAAAAAACTGGCCAATCAAAATTTCTTTAAGATTTATAACTTTTGTGTATGTAAAGAAGAAAAAAATTACTTTAAATATATGAGGCATAATATTAAGTGATGTTACAGATATTCATAGAATACTGCTTTTATCCAAAAATCCTCATTTCATAAGAGTATAATTTTAAAGGTGATGTCTGAGTAAGGATATAAAAACTGCTTAGAACCGCATGATACAACGGAATCAAAATGTGGCCGTGTTCTCAGTTCATGCTGTCGTCACACATTCTCCTCCCCTGCTCATAGATTGCTGTACCAATTACTGAGCTTCCCCAGGGAAGATCTGGCACTACTTCTGGAGTTATTTTTTTGCTTTAAAGGGATCCTCACTCTAGATATTGCGAGAGGGAATCTCAATACATACTAATTTTGCTTTGCTTTACTTCTTCCAAATGCTAATACATGCAGTTGGGAAATATTTTAGAAACCTAGTTTATTTTTTATCAGCTATTCTTATGTGTCAGAACCTCAAGATTATTTAGAATTAGTTTCCTGAAAATCTTCCAGTAGTGGCTAATTCCAGATCTACAAAAGATATCCAGAGCCCAACACCCATAACCTGTAGAAGAGCCCTGTAACCAATAATATGCTGTGAAATTCTGATGTCATTTACAAAAGCAAATAGTTGAAGTATTTTGGTTCTGATAGTTAATACCATCTGTTCAAACAGCATACTTTTTCACTTCCATGGCATTTTTCAGAAATCCATTTCCAAATTTCTGAATGATTTGTGTTTACTGTATTAAACATCAGAACAGGAACATTTTTATATTTCCAAACCTCAGATGTAGTGAGCTTCTGAGATTCAGTCCTGTAGATTCCAATGGGAACATCTCCAGTAGATGAACACAACTTCTGATAAAGCCTGGCATATGTTCTGATCCATAAGTCATCCTCAGTGATTTTCATCTATAAGAACATGAATTATTTACATATTAAGGGCTTAAGAGGTACTAATCCTAGTGGTTATTTTCATGTGTTCAAGGCAGAACTTATTAATATTTGCAAATCTCATAGTAATATTCCATAAGTGCTTATTCATGTATCAAAATTAATTTGTGTACTCCTCCATCAGTTTATCCTGAGGGTTCCTCCAAAGTTGAGAAATCTGAATGCTTAACTGGGGGTAGTATACCATTGTATTAGTTCAATGACAGTAGACAGTAGGGTACAAATAATTGCGTAGGAGATGTTCTACACCAGGTGGAGGCTGGTGAATGTTGCAATAACTGGAGGCCACTACTAGTATGAGTGGATAGGGTTGCTGATGCTACAGAAGTTAAGGTGTAACCAGGAAATGTGAGCTCCGGTTCCTCTACACCACTTACAGATCTGAATGGGTAGCAATTCACTTTATCCAATACACTTGAATGTATATACTCATTTATAAGAATGGTTAAACTACATGATCACTGTTTTCCTAGTATAGCATCCTTTGTCTGAATCTGCCAGTCTCAAACTACCAACAAGAAAAAAAAAAACTTGCTCTGAATTTTGTACAAAATGGCTTTTTATTATTACTAATTAAAAATAAAATAGTTTTCCTGAAAATATTTTCAATAATCTTTTGAATCTCAGATATCACTCTTTGAACTCATAATAGGAAAAATATATGATGTAGAAGAATTAGAGTTAACAGTAGATGGATTTCAGAAGCTTTTATTACAGAAATTATTAACTTACAGAACAAAGAAAGCCAGATCCTGGTATTGTATCAAGTCCCAAAAGAAGTCTGGTGATAGAAATCATATAATCCTTCACAAATGACTGAAATATATACAAAATAAATATGGATTACTTGTATAATGGATAAAATGGCTAGCAGTATAAACATTTCTAAAAGATTACTTCTCATAACATATCATTAAGCCTCCATAAAAAAGGAAATAAAAATCTCACTTGTCAGTGTCTTAAGCAGTTCATAAAGAAATATAGAAAATAATTATCACTTAGAAATAGATTGATAAACTTTATGTGCATTATTAGGCATGATAAAACATTTTTTAGATTTTTACTAACAAAGACAAAGAAACTGAAATAAAGTAGTGAATGTCATAAAACTCTGAAAGAAATAAATTTACCATGAAACATTCCACACATTTTTTAGGATTGAGCTCTATCCTAGTAAAATAAATTTCTAAGCTGCATTTATCACTTATTATTACATACTTATATGATCTCTTTCCACATCATTCTAAAATGGAGACTTAAAAAAATGGAGTCATTACATTATCCTGGGGCTACAGTGAATTTCTTATACTGCAAGCTCTGAATGTTAGAATAGTCAACAGATTCAGTGACTAAATTTACTAGTAAGAAATAACAATGTGATTGAAAATCTTATTAATTTAAGAGCCATTAATAACCTACTAAAAATACTCAGAAGGGAAATTATCTTCTAGGTTTTTCTAATTCTGAGTCAAGTGTTTTTCAAACATCAAGTCAGAAAATAAAGTTATGAATTACAACCAGCACATTTGTAAATGAAACGGAATACGTTTCAATAAGGCAGAAAAGAATGAAGCAAATTACAGGCAGAAAGGGTACATGTGATACTGTGCTGTTCTGTCTTCCTTCCTCACATGCAAAGGTATGTACTGGATTGATTTGCAAAATACATTTACTCTGTGACAATTTAAGAACTTTAAAAATTACAGCTCTGCAAAAGCCTCGGAAAACACTCAATTTCTTGTTTCTTTATCTATAATATAAAACATGAGGTAAAAAAGGAGGAAAAAATTACTGCTTTCCAATTCAAACCCATTTTCTTTCTGTTTAACTGTTCTATTAGACTTTTTCATGAGATTTTATTTAAACATTGTATATTAAAATATCTAAGAACCACTGGTGTATTACAACATTAAACATTTGGCCACTACTGATATAAAATCTTCAGTTCCAATAGTGCTCCTCACACAAACCCTCCCCTGCAATTCTCTCTGGAACAAACCAGAAGCTGTGTGCGTTGCGGTGGTGCTCCGGGCAGGAGGCTTGCTCCTGGCCTGCCCAGATAAGTGTCTGCAAACTCCAGGGCACACAGGAGCACTTGCTCTCCTGAGCTGAATCTGTTCCAGCCTCATCTGGATGAAGCAGATGGATGCTGACATTGCTAGAGGCAGACATCCGGGCAAAATTAGCACAAAGTCCAGCAGAAAAGCCTTAACTTTGGATCAGTTTATTCAGTCAAGCAATCATAGAAGAGGAGATATAAATATATAACCAAAAAGAATATGCACAATAAAATGCTTAATTTGAGATTAACATCAAATCACTGAAAGTCCTATGAATGTGTTTGGTTTTAATGGAAATATTCAGAGATTTTTCTGATTGCTTGAATCAGGGACTATGAAATATTAAATCTTTTCAGTTTCTGCCAGGGACAAAAGTGATTATATTTGTATGAAATAATATCCCATGCACTGCTTAGCTACAAAAAAAAATGGCAAAGTTAACTTGGCATTCAGGAACAAATTAAATGATTCTGAGTTGTAAAATATCTTTCATATTTTTTATAGTAGGCACTAATTAGAAGATGCTTAAAATGTCCCTGACTTTTCAGCTTACTGAAATCAATTTGATACATTATTCAAACCTGAAATGTGCCTTGTGATACATCCTGTCTTTTTTTAACTTAGGAATTTTCCTATCTTTATTTTAACCCAATAATATGCTCAGAATAATATTCAAAAAGCAAAATAAATATTGCAGGATACTGACACCAGGGAATTTATAAAAAAATTTCCCATAATTTTTAAACAATATTTTTCTCACAAAATGTTTTATGGGGCCCAAATGCCATTGAATACACAAAATAGAATTGAATGACTTCGAGAGCCCTGTTAAGTTAGCAGATCCATGAGAAACATTAGGTGTATTATTCATTTAAATAAAATCTAAGTGAAATATAAAAACAAGCATTTTATAGCAAAAAATACTGCATACCTGATACAGAAGTGTGTCCAACATACTGATGCTAAATACCCTTCCAGCAGCAAAAGGCAGTCGAAACATAAAAGCCAAGTTAGACCCTCTCTCCCGTTCTTTCTGTTCAGAAATTTGAGACAGAAAAAAATTTTGAGTAGTCTATCTTCTATGCATCTTTGCATAAAAGATAAATTTTCCTGACATAAGTGAAAAAATAAATTCTCATTACATGGTTCTTATGGTTATTAGCTAATTGTGTACTTACTTCACTTAAGACTGTATTTTTAAATATTCCTTTAATTCTCAAGACCAAGTTTTCTTAATCAATTGAAACACCAAGTAGTTAAGGGTCGATCATTTCAAATATTAGATGTGTGTTTATTCTTCATATAAGAGGTGGTATAAAATAAACAAGCATAAGAACTATCTAATCAAACGTAAAAGAAAATCCTAACTAGAGTAAGTATCATAACACTTAAAAGAAGATTTATTTTTATATATTCTGAGAACAAAAAAAAAAATGTCATGTAGGAACCTGTTACAATCTAAATGTTTGTGCCCCACCCACCAATACCTCCTTGAAATCCTAACCTTCCAGGTGAAAGTCTTTGGAGGTGGAGTCCTTAGGGGTGAGATTAGACCTTACAAAAAAGGAAGGACTTCCTGTCCCTTCCACCCTGTGCATCACTACGGTTAATGCCCACCCCAAAACTCACACTCATTTTTCATTGCCATTGTGAGGGTATTGGCAAGCAACTCCCTGAAGAGGTGATTAGGTTATGGGTACTCTGCCCTCCTAAATGGATTAATGCCATTATGATGGGAGAGATTAGTTTTCAAGAGAGCAGCTTTGTTACAAAATCTATCATGCATGTGCCCTTACTCTCTTGCCATGTGACACCCTCCACCATGTTATAACACAGCAAGAAGGCCCTCACCAGGGGCTGGCATGTTGATATTGCACTTTGCAGCCTCCAGAACTGTAAGAAATATATATATTTATTATATTATTATTATATTATTATAATATATATAATATATATTATTATATTTATATATAAATTACCCAGTCAATGGTATTCTATGCTAAAAGCAAAAAACAGACTAAGACAACCATTTACAATTCAAGAATATGGACCCTGACCAGACCCTGAATCTTCCAATACGTCATCCCAGACTCCTCTGCCTCCGGAATGTGAGAAACAAACATCTTTCATTTATAAGCCACTCAATCTATGCTATTTGTTGTGGTGCCCAACAGACTGATACAGTCTACTACGGACAGTAGTCTCTATCTTTCTGTCATCTTAATTTCATTTCTCCATCTGCCTCATTTAAGTTGTGCCAGCCACACCAGTTTGCAGCTAAACTTCTATAAAGTACACACCAAAAAAAAAAGTGTTTACATGTGACTGTGTGTGTAAGAGACAGAGAGAGAATGTATGATAGTTTCTAAGAAACTCTTTTGTTATCTTCCTGTAAAAAGTGAAGGCATGCGAGCAAGTGTCAGATTTGTTGTTGAGTTCAGAAGCAGTTTCTTAAGAATGTAAGTTAAACTGGCATTTCCCAAGTGTTAACCTAAAGAATGCCAGCTTCTTTTGGTACCAACTTTCCTTTACTAGGAAAAACAGATACAGCTAAGCAAGTAAGAAATCAACCTCCACTTCTTTAGGCAACAAAAGTAAACCGTGTTTTTCATGCAGTAAATTTGGGGCTCTCAAAGGAAGGGATGCCTCCCATAGTCCCAGGTGAAGAAGAGGTGGGAGGTAGAACTAGCTAAGGAGTGAGTGGGACAGATGAACCAGGGCTACTGTTATTGCTTGTGTTGATAATGATCTGAGTGACTTGATTACTGGACTTCCCTTGCACAAACAGATGCGTCTGGAACTCAACAGCAGCCAGGCCTAGGAGCAGTATGAGAAATTTCCAACCCAACAAATCCATAGTGTGTGCCTAGTTGAGAAGACTGGAGAATATAAGACTGTTCTCACTTGAGATTCATGGAGAAAACAAGCTGAAAAGTAAACAGGTGGCATCCCATTTTCATCTATGCCTACTACTTCATTGTATATTCTCTAACACATCTACCTTAATATTAAGCATGCTTAATTTGAACAGCCCATGAAGGTGGCTGGGAGATGCATTGGAATTAGATGTTCTTATTGTGAGACAAGTAGATTTTCTTGTGACTTTGGAAGCAAATCTAGTTCTTAAGATGTGACCAGTATCTAGATGAGAGGGCAAAGTTATGGTATCTTAAGCCTAAATTAAAGCAAGTAGCCAGAATAAAGTACTAGGATCTTTGAAAATTTGAAGTCCAAGATTTGCCATCAGGCAGACCAAGCTTGGAAAAGCAAAACTTTGGGGACTGCATATGGGTGATCCAGTCTTCTTTTCCAGGCTGTGACTGGTCAGGGACCTCTTAAGCCAATGATCATTTTCCTTTTTGATTGTTTTATTCATCTACCTAACAGGGATAGGGGGCATGGGACACAGGACTGAGTATATTTTTTATGTTAATTTGCACTTTTAATTAATTAATTAATTAATTTATTTTTTTAATTTTAATTGAAATTTTAATTCTTCTCAATTTTTTTTACCTTTTTATTTATTTTTAATTTTTATTTAATGAATATAAAATTCCAAAGTACAGCTTATGGATTACAATGGCTTCCCCCCCATAACATCCCTCCCACCAGCAACCCTCCCCTTTCCCACTACCTCTCCCCTTCCATTCACATCAAGATTCATTTTCGATTCTCTTTATATATAGAAGATCAGTTTAGCATACATTAAGTAAAGATTTCAACAGTTTGCTCCCACACAGAAACATAAGGTGAAAAATAATAGATGATTTTTTAAATGATGATGAAACCAGATCAGACCTATTGTCATGTTTAATGCCAGTGAGAGTCAAGTTGGGAATTGATAATTTCTTTTTTTTTTTTTAACATAAGATCAGTTTAGTATACATTAAGTAAAGATTTCAACAGTTTGCACCCCCATAGAAACACAAAGTGAAATATACTGTTTGAGTACTCGTTATAGCATTAAATCTCAATGTACAGCACATTAAGGATAGAGATCCTACATGAGGAGTAAGTGCACAGTGACTCCTGTTGTTGACTTTACAAATTGACACTCCTGTTTATGGCATCAGTAATCTCCCTATGCTCCAGTCATGAGTTTCCAAGGCTATGGAAGCCTTTGGAGTTCTCCGACTCTTATCTTGTTTAGACAAGCTCATAGTCAAAGGGGAGGTTCTCTCCTCCCTTCAGAGAAAGGTACCTCCTTCTTTGAAGACCTGTTCTTTCCACTGGGATCTCACTCACACACTCACAGAGATCTTTCATTTAGGTTTTTTTTTTTTTTTTCGCCAGAGTGTCTTGGCTTTCCATGCCTGAAATACTCTCATGGGCTTTTAAGCCGGATCTGAATGCCTTAAGGGCTGATTCTGAGGCCAGAGTGCTGTTTAGGACATCTGCCATTGTATGAGTCTGCTGTGTATCTTGCTTCCCATGTTGGATCACTCTCCCCTTTATTTATTCTATCGGTTAGTATTAGTAGGTACTAGACTTATGTGATCCCTTTGACTCTTAGTCCTTTCATTATGATTAATTGTGAACTGAAATTGATCACTTGGACTAGTGAGATGGCATTGGTACATGCCACCTTGATGGGATTGTATTGGGGTCCCCTGGTATGTTTCTAACTCTACCATTTGGGTCAAGTCAGCTTGAGCATGTCCCAAATTGTACATCTCTTCCCTCTCTTATTCCCACTCGTATGTTTAACAGGACTGAGTATATTTTAATGCTTTTGTAATCTGTTTATCTCTTAATTTTCTTTACCCGTTTTTTGCCTTTTCTTTAATGTCATCTTTAGCTGCAACAGAACTAAACAGGGCAAAAACTTGTTCATAACTGGACTGAGCAAACAATGGTGATTTGAAGGTGACAGTAGAGAGGTATAGGAGAGCTCTCCAATGCAATCAGACATGCGTGGTGAGGTAGAGAAGGGGTGGGGGTGGTGTGGGCGTAGGCGGACAACAGTGGGCACAGAGATCCAGAGGAGCCAAGGACACAGCAGATTTCAACACATGGAGAGAGACATGGTGAGACATGACACTGGTCACTGTTTGAAAACCAGGTGGGATGAAGCCTGGAGAAAGCCAGGATTTAGTAATTAGAAGTTACTCCAACCTCAGCTTTTCCTCTACTTTTGCAGCATGTAACCATCTAATAAATACTTCATCTGGGACCTGTAAATCCATGTTAACTTGCACATCTTTTTCAAATTGTAACTGTGGGCATCAACCTGAATCCTGCTCTGTAAACTGAGTGTTCTATTTTACTAGAATGAATTCCCTATCATGCTGTGTCACCTACAGACCAGTAAATCAGGGTGAAAAGTTAACTAGTCAACCAGAAGGATCTCTTAACCCTCTTCAGCATTCTATCAATTTAATTTCCAATTCCATCTATAATCCATTTAATCATCTCTCAATCACTCTCTCTTCTACAGCCTATGGCTAAAATGCCTGGTGAGGTTTAACTCTACTATTAATATCCCAACTTCAAGTCTTTAGTCACTCCAAGTCAACCTACAGAATTATCCAATTAACTTTACTAGCAATTCTCATAATGTCACTTTTGCTCAGCATTCTTAGTTCAGTTTACCTTTTAATCAGACTTTCCTGGACATGCCTGGAAACAAAAAGCAGTACTTCTGTGAAACAAAATTTCACTCTGAACAGAGCCCGTCTCTTGTGTCCTAGCAATGAAGCTTGAATTTATACCAAGCCCAGTGGACCCAGGGTGCTAGTCCCTGATGTGGAGTGGATTCTTGCTTTCAGATTATCCTGCTCATTGATTTTCTGAAAAGAGACATTTTCTAAATCCAGCGTGTGGCTCTCAAACATGAATAAAAAAGCAACCAATATTTAACATGTCTTCTTTTATACTCTGCTGGCATTCACACACCATAGGTTAACATCTGGACTTGAGTTTGAGGGTCAGTGGAAATGCTTGTTATATCTTGTTATATCAGCCCAGCAGGCAGTACACCAAACAATGGTTAGTGGCTCTGGAATCCAATAAAGGGCCACTTCAAGCACTGCT